GCGACTTGATGAATTTGGGGATATATACAAAGGTTCAGCTGTGAGAGAAATTCTTCTTTCGCATGGATTTGCATACGTGTGGGTATACCAGGATGTTGGAAATAAAAATAAAATGATGTTCTAAACAATGTTTAAACAACGATATAAAGATATGTATTGTCAAGGCTCGTCAGCTGATATCAGATGTTCAAAATCGCTACATGCTTATTCAATGTTTAAGATGGAAATAATATCAGAAATGTATTTAACAACTATTCGATCTTTATCTTTATGCAGATGTTTAACGAAGGACAGGTGTGGTATACATGTCCTCAATATACAATTATACAGACATTCCAAAGATAATGATGTTTTAACATCGATGTGCCCTTTCTGCAAATATTACCAAGAAGTTGAACACCATATATTATTAATATGTCCAGTATATGAAGTTATAAGAATCAATTACCTGCCTAACTATTATTATACGTATCCATCACAAAGAAAATTTGTAAAGTTAATGAACAGCAAAAATAGCCATATTCTTCTTAGACTTGCAGTTTGTGTTTATAAGATATTTGAAAGAAGGATAAGACATTGAATATTTATAAAACTGTGTACACATATTCAGCTACAATCTAATCAGTATACAAGTGGTGCTCCACGACGAATTTTCCTAAAATAAATGTTATTGTACTATTGGCCCCATGGCCACACAAACGAAATAAATCTGTCTGTCTGTGTGTCATTACAAAGTACATGGATAACATAATCTTGTGCAAATCCACACCTGTGCGTTTGTTTGTCTTCAGTTCAGAGATCACTCGACAATGAAATGTTCTTTTTCAGAAGTACTACGTGGTGATAAATATTTGAAATAATGGTGCTCACAAATAAAGGGTCATAATCGTGACGCATCTGGGATCATTGGGCCGAGGCAACAGTGAATTGCAAAGCCTGGGACGAGTGGACAACCCGTAGCACTCACACTTGAGGTGAGGGAAAATGGGGTTTAACGTCGCGTCCAGAATTAGTGCACTTATATAGCGACGTGCATGCACGCGCGCGTGTGTGTGTGTGTGTGTGTGTGGCTGCTTGTACTAGTCCGGACTGATGCCGATTTATTGTGCTAGCTCACTGAGATACCTTGTCGCAGTTTAACATGAATACCCCACTCAGACACAGTATACTGACTCCGAGCCGACCAGTCCTTGTTTTAGCCCCTTTATGCCGAGCGCCAGACACGGTAACAACAAGTACCATCTTTAAACGTCTTTTGGTATGACGCGGCCGAGGACGAACCCCGGACCTTCCGCTCTCCGGGCGGACGCTCTACCTCTAGACCACGGAAGCGGTCCACTCACACTTGAATTACCAAGTGCCAAGTTATGTGTGTAGTGTTTAAAATAAAAGCAAATATAACGATAAAAAAGTGACATGTCTATTGTTAAAGCGTAAATATTATGATATATTTAAAAAACAGATTCATGTAATATTGATTAAAAAACATATATTTTCACATTATTATTGTATAGAAAGTTAGAAGCTTCAAGCTTACAAGCTACAGTCTGCCTCATAATGCATATATCGTTGCAATCGACAACCAAGTGTGCTGACGTGTTATATAAAAGGGGAAACTCGACTATATCTCATAAATGTCAATGTGGTTCTTAGTTCGATATATGGAAGCCAGCAAACGCCAGAGCCTCGCTGGTAGCCTTGTACCGCGCATCATGGTAAACTATTTCCCATAAAGTTGCACCTGGTGCGATGTTTCCCCGTGAAGGAAGCGGAAAGATAGACAAACATGTAGATGTGGAACTGTTCCCTCTCTGAAGGCTGCACCTGGTACCGTGGTCCTCTGTAGAGGAGCCTGAAGGGTAGAGAGACATCCCCTTACATTACTCTTCACATGGTACTGTGGTCCTCTGTAGAGGAAGCTGAAGGGTGGAGAGACGTGTAGACGTGGAACTGTTCCCTCTCAGGAAACTACTCCTGGTACCGTGGTCCTCTGTAGAGGAAGCTGAAGGGTGGAGAGACGTGTAGATGTGGAAATGTTCCCTCTCAGGAAACTACTCCTGGTACCGTGGTCCTCTGTAGAGGAGCCTGAAGGGTGGAGGGACACCCCCTTACATTACCCTTCACCTGGTACTGTGGTCCTCTGTAGAGGAAGCTGAAGGGTGGAGAGACGTGTAGATGTGGAACTGTTCCCTCAGTAGTCGCTCATAATCATGCAGGGATAAGGCATCCTCGTCGTTGATGGCAGCACTGATGTCACAGGAAAGCCTCTCGCCCACCACAGTGAGATATTCACCACACCTATGATCAGAACAATTACATCACAATTTAAAGATGACATTAACTTACACAGACGTATGCAGGTATGTTACTTCAGTGCGGCTGGCAATGCAACCTATTATATGAAGTGAAATCATTTCGTTCAAAGCAAATTATCCATCTCGAACCCCCAAACAACTCCACCAGTTAACCCCTTCTGTACTAAAAGTACATTTGTGTGATTACCATCACAAGATGCACCAAATACTATCACTTCATCTTTTGCAACACATAAAACCAAATACAGGCTCTGTTTATTCAGTGAGTGTCTTAGTTTTCTCAGGTAGTTTGTGTAAAGGAAGTTGTTTAACACTAGCGTGAGTGCGTGCGTGCGTGCGTGCGTGCGTGAGCGAGCGAGCGAGCGAGTGAGTGAGTGAGTGAGTGAGTGAGTGAGTGAGTGAGTGAGTGAGTGAGTGAGTGTGAGGTTTTACGCCACTTTTAGCAATAGTCCAGCAATACCACAGTCGGGCAAACCAAAAATGGGCTTCACACATTGTACCCATATCGGGAATTGAACCCGGGTCTTCGGCGTGACGAGCGAACGCTTTAACCACTAGGCTACCCCACCGCCCCATTTAACACAAGAGACAGCAACAGGTCATGCATTTGGGGTTGTTCTAATGGTAAGTAGTTAACCCATATTGGATACATACTTCTCAAGCATTTAACCTGAAACAATACAAAATGTATGTACCTGATGTCTTGGTCATCTGAAAGTAAAGCAAAAAGAGCATTTGTAAAGTTCTATAATAAAGGAATCTTTGTAATGTATTTTTTACTGAATAAGAACAACACTGGCAAAATGAGCCTTCAGCCTTTCTTGACATTTGAAGTAGGGAAACGTTTGTTTGGGGTTTTTGGTCTGTTGTTTCACTTCTCGCGTAGCAATATTCTGGCTATATGACAGGGTCTGAAATAATCGAGTCTGGACCACACTATCCATTGACTGACATCGTAAACATTGATCTGGGCAATTGGGATACGATGACGTGCATCAACCAAGCCAGTAATTTTGACCGCCCTAACACGTTACTTGCCTTTTATGACAAGCCTGCTAATAGGCTGAAGAAGACCAATTCTAACCAGGATCTTCATGGCGTGGCGTTGCATGCCGTGGCGTGGCGTGGTGTGGTGTGTGGGGTGATGAGTCTACTTATGGTTGATTGCATTGTAAGAGAGTAATTTGTTTCCTTACCTTTCACGTCCTTGCAGACAAGAATAGCAGCTGCTGCAACCACAACCGCCACAGCAGTGAGTATAACAGAGTAGACGGCTACGACAGGGACGATGTCGTCTACGTTTACGTCATCTTAAGACAAAGGTGAATCACATGTTTATTCAAAATGATAAGTCAATGCCTAACAATCAGGGACATTTTTTAAACATAGAGACTCACCATTTTATATTCCATGTTACTTTGAATATACAAATTGATATTCGGATATAGGCTATGTCTTGCGAATCTTTTATTTGTATACCTGAATATATTTTGTGTGTGTGAACATTTCTTTTTTCAAGGAAACGAATTTGAGTAAACTACGATCCCTTTTAAGCTAACGAAGCCCTGTCTAGACCACAGATGTCACCACAACAAAGTTCAATAAAGGAAACGAACAATGAACAATGGCCATAACTTATGACGAGGAGTATGACCACTACAGCTAACAAACCAACTGAATCTTTTTCTCAAACATGACGTTTTACACTATCCAGGTGATGAGTCATGATGATTCATTCCAAAGTGTCATAAAAGAAGTATTATGACTTTTAAAATAAATGTATGTCCGCTGGTGTATTTGACTTATTCTACGATAGGTATGATAAAATCGTTATTATTATCTTTTTGTTTTAAAATATTACGCAATATATTTGACTCCTATTTGTGCTTCTTGGCTTCAGGAGTTAAATTGGCTTACAGAACGTCGTCCAATAAGTACCAAATACGGCAGTTCGAGTTATACGGGCGTTACAAAATCGCATCAACAGACAACCTTTAGAGACCAACCTTCTATCTCCTGGTAGCTCCCTTCTTGGCCCTCATCCCGGGTATATGAAACCACGCTGATGAAAATGAATAAAAAAGTGATCGAAATAAGACGAAAAGATCGAGGCAAATTAACTGTGGAACACTATCAATTTACATTGTGCTCCATATTGTAGAGATGTAGTTTCGCTCTTATGCCATGCAAGGTCATATGACTGTACAGAGGTGAACAATTTATTCATTTCACTTGACTATCGATGGCAAATACTCACCGGTTATTAATGTTTCCTCCTTCTGAAAGTTACAATGTTCTGCAGTTAATTATGTATAATAATGACTCTGATCATTGCATACCATTAAAATGTTGTTAACTAGTTTGAATTTTGCACACTGATATTCTTGTATTCTTTTTACACGTTTTAGAGGTTTAGAAGTTTAATGGACACTGCACTGATATAATAAAAATAAAGGTCCATCAGTGCTAAACGTTTCTCAGAAGTCACAACTTGACTGCAGATACCAAATAATGGTATGTGTTTAGTTATTACTTAAGGGTATGTTTGTTTACAGCTTTCCAAATCAACTACGTATATAAGCAAGAACTGTAATGATTCAAGACGACCCTTGTAACATTAAAGAAACATCATGGGAATTAATTCATATGGCGTTTGAAATACTAATGATGACTAACAAAACCAACCTTCTATTTCCTGGTAGCTCCCGTCTGTTTCTGTGTCCCGGGTATACGTGACCACGCTGATGTAAAGGATGTTGGAAGTGATTGAAAAAGAAGAAACTAATCAAGGCAAACTCGTCACAAGATAATTTGTGAAACACTATCAGTTTAGATTGTACTCTAAATGACATAGATAGTTTGGTTTTATAGTCATGCAAGGTCGAATTACTCTGTTTCAGATTTACCCGTTTGCCTTGATGGATAGCAGGTACTCACCGGTTATGAAAGTATCCCCTCCCTGAAATATATAATTTTGTGTTGATAATCATGTATACAAAATGTAAGATGAAATGTGATAGCTACACGAACTTTGCACAACGATATGTGACTGTTTACCCAAGATTGAGGAAAAGCATCAAGGAAGTATTACTATTGTCATGAAGGCAGTACAACTGTCGACTTTGAAGTTGTTGGTCCATCAATGCTGTACTTTTCTTCAAAGTAACAAGATCACGACAGAGAAACAAAGCAATGAAAAATGTTATAGGCGTTGTGTTATCTTTCTCATCATAACGACAAAGAGGGTTTTGTCCTTGAGATTGCCATAACATGTCCACAATTCCATGTATTCTATCTAACGTCACATGTTTACAGCAAAGTCATAGAAAAAGTGACAAAACTACCACTGAATGATATGAATCATACTTCATACAGTCTTTCTGTTTATCAACAGTGTCGGTTTTGTAAGAGCGATGAAATCATGCTCTGTTGATTTGAATAGAGACACAGAGAAGGAAGATATTTTCAAATAGAAACCACCCCAGTTGCCTTTTTATTCACATTATCGAAGTTTTCAAATATGCTTAATTCATATTTATCCCACTTTCACCAAATCTTCTGAAACACTGTAGTTATAAGAGAGTAAGGTCATTTATAGGATCTCAGTTGTAGTGTCTCTGAAAGGATATGAAACTCATCCATTTGACGCTGGTCACAGATTCCCTTTCCTCACACAGTCTTGGTTTTGATCCTTGATGATTACTAATAATGACAATCAAGGACGTCTTTACATTTAATCAAAATTCAAACACAAGCAAAATTAACTAATGAGCTGTAGGATAGATCCACTTATTTAAATAACACAAGCTGATCATATCATATATTACTTGTTAGGATGAAACACTTTCTGAGGTAAAAAGCAAGCTCATACAATTATTCAATAACATTCTGTTTTCGTTATGCATTGTGCTGAACTAGCAGTTATTTTATCACCATTCATTTGAAAGTGTTTACATTGATATTCTATCGTGACAACTATTTCCGCGTGACGATTCACTGAACTACCCTCACACATCGCATAATGTGATTACATTTATACTCCATGAAGGACTTTCAAGGACTAGCTTGTGTGGAATTTGCAGTTGTTTCAGTCGTGTAAATTAACCCACTTCTCATGCGTAGTTAATGTGACTGAGGGCCGGCTTCTGATATCTTGTAAACCACACACCAGTGGTCAATAATTTGAACAACGACCCACACAGCCTGGTTAAATTCGATGTGCACGCATCTAATATCCCCATGTTCAATTACGAGACAAACGAATTCTGTTTTTAATGCAGAGATTTCGAACGAAGATTTGATACCTGTAAATTTCATTCGAACCGAACGGAATATCACTTTACACTCTCTCAGTATTTGTTTGTCAAGATTTCCGACGGAACACTGACAGACTTGCTGGAAATACTGTAGGAACCGCAATACGTTATTCAGCAAGGTGAATGAAGAAAGATCAATATTTGAATTTGCCAAACGAAAGTGAGAAAGAAGTGCTTCTGAATAAGTATTTTCTTTTGCGGTTTTCTGCACTGTCATGGTCTAACTTAGATTCGATACCGCCTGCGGACCAATAAGAATTGATGATTCTAAAACGTCATGGTAGAATAGTTAATGTGACTCTCGCGTTGTACTCAATCACTCTCACACCGCAGTCTTACCTTTACGTGTCTGTTTTCTACAAACAACAACTATGACGACCACAGCGATGACGACGATCAGGACAGAACAGACAGCAGCTACAGGGACGAGGAAAACGTTGCTAGCCTCAGTAACCTCACGTGCTGGAACATTCAAAATGGAAAACATGTAGTTTATCATGATTATAATCGTGTTTGTGTTTTGAAAGATAACCTCTTGAAGTGCCAGGTGTTCTGTATTTAACATGGCTGGCTGGAATATTCATACCAGAGCTGAGATGACGCAGGGACCCGCTTATATTTCAAGATTACTTTTCACCCTGGATTCCTTGCCAATGACTATCTCCGTTGCGGCGAGGTGCTTATTATTATTGTCATTGTCATTGTCATGTCATGGAATTACATTGTATAACATTTGTTAGTTGTTTGTTGGTTTCAAGTTCTTTCACGTACATATTTCTGGGTACACATATTCTTTCAATTTGGGAATCGACACGTAACATACTCAATCAATGGGTTGTAATAATGTATTATTTTAAATATCTGAGTATTCAAGCAAGATGAATTGAAATGTCATCAGTCTGTTATATGTTTCATCCAAATCAATACTGGCATGTTACATATTCAGTTACTAAAGTCTATCATCAGCAATGTTGGGAAAGTCTTACAGAAAACTTCAAGCGTTAGGTTCCGTGATGTATTCCCATGTATGTTGTTGACGTGACACGTGTACTGCCCAGACACAGATCTGTCTACAGCTGGTATATACAACACAGCCTCCCTCTGTCCCGTGATCACCCTCTGTCTGGGTGTGTCCCACCAGGTCACAGTGCAGGCGGGGTTACAGTCAGCAGAACATGTCACCGTGATAGGTTTCCCTTCTTCTGCCGTTAACCTGTCACTAGAGCCGTTAAATTGTATCTGGTCAGGTCCATCTGGAATGTGTGAAGTGCTCAGTAAGTCTACATTGTATCGCCAGGCAACAATGGAAAATGCCACTGCACGCAATAACTGATCAAAAACCTGTACAAAATTATTTCTGAGAGACAAATGTGCAGTTTGTTTCTGTAACGTTTATGTGAGAATACTTATATGTACACGTGCAGTTTATGTTTGTAATAAATTTGAAGAAAAAAAGGTTTCCTTAAACAGACGGACGGACCTACGGACAACAGATTACCGAAACCCATAATATAACTTCACGCAATTTTACAAAAAAGGGATCATCTGTGGGTGATTAGCAACAATGCAAATAACGTTCATATTTTATGATACCTGCAAGGAATTCTTTCAGGTAAAGTGTATTCAAGCAGAAAGTATTCTCAGACAAGGAATGCAAAGTGTTGCTTTGAAACAGAAGTAAACGGGGCGAGAGAAAAAATGAGAGTAGAGCACAAATGGCAAGTAAAGATAAGGTAAGAGATCTATTCAGACACATTGCTAATGATCTCATATATGATGTGTTAATCCGGCATGATCGTTGTATACCGTAAAGAAAGGTGAGACATCCAAATCAATACCTCGCAGTATAACGTTTACAATGGATAGTTTACATAAATGAGAAGGCAAATGAAAAGTTGATGGGAGACAACAATGTAAGGTCTAGTTTTAAAGTTTCACCTCTTCGCCCTGTAGAATCGACGCTTTAGTAGGGGAACTAAGCCACCAAGAAATCATTTTAGAACAAACAGAATTTAAACACGTGCTCTAGATATTCTGGGAACAACAGTACATTTGTATGTCATATTGTAAACTATCAGTATTTGAAATCAGTACCGTAAAACGAATGCTTCTTAAAACAGTTCCATTCTAAAAGACCGCTTCCTTGGTCTAGCGGTAGAGCGCCCGCCCGGAGAGCGGAAGGTCCGGGGTTCGATCACCGGCTGCGTCATACCAAGAGCCGTTAAAAGATGGTGCTTGTTGTTACCCTGTCTGGCGCTCGGCATTAAGGGGCTTTAAAAAGGACTGGTCGTGTCAGTATACTGTATCTATGTGGGGTATTTGGTTGGTAAATGACTGCTGTGAACTTTTTGTAGTCATCATTCATTTCGAATTCCCTTTGAAAAGGCCTATGAAGCTGAAACCTTGCATGACTGATTTGGCTATGGTGCCTTTAATTCCGATCCGACCCGCCAATATATTTTCATAATAATTATTCAGAACATAAACGTTCTCAGTAGACAATACACAAGACTTCAACAAATACAGCTGTTACAAAGCTGTCGTTCAGGACCACAGTTGCAAAGACAAGGTATACTCCGTTCTCATACCTTAAACAAGGTAAGTTCTTACTCACAGTGAACCTCCAGTACATGTCCGGGACTCCAGTCAGACTCCAGCCCCTCCTCCACAGCCTGGCAGGTGTAGATGTCTCCCTGGTTCTCTCTGCTGATGTGGGTTATTGTCAGGACATCTCCGCCTATATTTGGCCTATCACCAGATACTAGCATGGTCCTGTTCCTCCTCCAGGTGTAGATGTCTCCCTGGTTCTCTCTGCTGATGTGGGTTATTGTCAGGACATCTCCGCCTGTGTGAGACCCATCACCAGATTCTAGCAGGGTCCTGTTCCTCCTCCAGGTGTAGGTCATGTTCAGTGGGGGGTGGTCCGGGGGCAGACTCCGGGAGGAGGAGGAGCATGTCAGGGTGACATTCTCACCTGATACAGCTGAGGCAGGTCCTGTGATGGAAGGTGTGGTCGGCTTCTCTGTTAAATATATTGATCTTTCAAAATTAAATCAAGGCCATAATATTGCATCACTGTATATATCAAGAACATAGAGTAAGTAAGTGAGTGAGTGAGTATGATTCTATGTCGCTTTTAGCAATATTCCAGCAATATCAAGGCGAGCAACACCAGAAATTGGCTTCACACATTGTACCCACGAGGGGATAGAACCGGGTCTTCGGCGTGACGGACCGCCTCCGTGGACTAGTGATGTAGAACGTCCGCCCGGAGAGTGTAAAGTCCGGGGTTCGATTCCCGGCCGTGTTATACCACAAGACGTTAAAAGATGGTACTTGTTGTTACCCTGTCTGACGCTCAGCACATAACACTGTCAAGAAGCAACAAGGAGACGACTTCAGAAACTGCAGGGTGTTTTTATTCCCAACGTAGTCTTCCCTGGACCACCTGAGACTGAGAACTTGTCTTGATTAGATGGGACCACGACAGGAACTGCAATGCCTTGTACTATGCTATCTATTTAATTTATCTGTTATCACCTGCTACATCCACAGTTAACATATTAATAACTTTTAAGGTACACAGCGGCCTGATATACCGTATTCGACGTAATAAGCGCCCAGGGCGCTCTCAAAATTAGAAATAGGGGGCTCTTATTAGAATATTATTTTGGTGAAAAAAAAAACGGAGTTGAGAGATAAATTTCTTGGTTTATGCTGACAGCCTGAAATGTTTATGTATTAATTGCCCATACTTTAGGGCGCATATAACACACGAGTGCGTCTTATTCGCGAAAAAATAAGTCTTGTGTACATTGCTCAATCGGAAGGGATGCCAATTGGGATTGTTCACTAGCCAATATATTAGCAAATATCGCCGTGGGCGCTTATTAGAGCGGGGCGCTTATTACGTCGAATACGGTAATCTTAATTAATCTCGACTACCCACATGTGCAGTCATGCTAGTTCTATATCATAATATACGTACAATTATTAGTATATGTTATCGTGTCTTCTCTTATTAGGAATTAAGATTTTATTTAGCCATATTACCCTTGGTGCACTTTGTTACAAGCATAAAGGGGGTAAAACAAGGACTGGTCGGCTCGGAGTCAGTATACTGTGTCTGAGTGGGGTATGTACGGCACGGTATCTCTTTGTGCTAGCACTATAAATCGGCATCAGTCCGGACTAGTACAAGCAGCCACACATACACACAAGCTCACGTGCATGTACGTCGCTACATAAGAGCAATAATCTTAGACGCGACGTTAAACCAAATTTCCCCTCACCTCACCTTCGGCGTGACGAGCGAACGCTTTAACAACTAGGCTACCCCACCATGTCTCGACAATTATATTATTGCAATATTTGAACCACGCCATCTCTATATCTTATCATATGCAACACGTTGACTTTATTTCCCCAAATGTTGTCGGTTTTCCAATGTTATAACATAACGCAAATTAAATTGTCGAGATCCAGTTCAAATGTCTGATGAGTGAAAGTAATATATATATTTTCGGGTTTTTTCTTCATCATGCTATGTCTTGGAATTTAATTTGTAATCGATGGCAGGAGATTTTGAAATCCTAAATTCCAAAGGATAGCGATAGTCCCCATGTTACATTATCTGGGTAAAAACTGCACAGGTTATAAATGTGACGTCAATGACGTCGCCTTGCCGAATACCTACACTCTCCTGGCCCATAACAAAGTAGTGTCCCGCTCCTGTCCTTATTAAAGGTTTTACTTCCTCTAAAACTCAAGAGGTCTGCTGCTAATGACAATACAAGCGTTCCAGCGATATTTTTTAATGTTTTGTTTTCATAACAGCTATGTAGTTTTATACGCATTCATTTCCTAACAAGTATTCTGTTAATCCCACATAATACTTACGTGACACAACGAGGACCTGCCTACATCCGGGAATTATCTGCTTTTTGCTTCCTTGACAGTAGTAAGTACCAGCGTCCTGAACAGTAACATTGTAGATGGTAAACCTCAGCTGTGCGATCTGTGATGGTGAGTCCTCCCCTGTGTATCTGATCCTGGTCGTGTAGCCGGTGTGCCTGCTGTTGAGTACCCATACATAGTGTGACCTAGGTATAACCACAAACAGTCTGTCAGCTTCCGAACCATTCCTCCATACGTAATATAGGTAGCTGACATGAGCTGGGTTCATGGTCATGTTAACATCGTAGCCAACACGTGTAACAGTGTGTGGGTAGTCAGTTGTCACGGAGGCCAGACCTGCTCATAAAACAAATACTCATCATAGAAACTCATTAATTAATGAATATTGACAGTTGACAGACATAAAACATAAAAACAACTATATATAATGCCAAGTTCTGTTGACGAAGACAGATACATACCACACCCATACAGTCCTCCCGCCACAACGTAAAACGAGAACATAG